GCCCTGATCAAGAATATATATACTTTGTGGGGTCTGCCACGCCTCCTTCTGCCTGTTACATACTTTTAACAAAACCATTATACCTTGATTTCCCATTGAAAATAGGTTCAGGGTATAAAAACAAGAGTGCACTAGACGAGACTACTCGAGTAGGAGATACCCTGATCCATCCCAGCATCCCCAAGCAAGCAGCGACTGCGCTGCAGTCTTGGAACTATACTGAAATTTACTAGTGGAATAATGTTTCTTGCAGTGGGACTATATTGATGAAACTTTCAGAACGTGATCATAATCTTTAATGTACAATGTGTGAGCACTTAAAATATGGTTTTTTACAAATTGGGGGCGAAGAGGGCGTGCCATACACAATGTAAATGTAAATGTAAATCTGAAGTATCCAGGTCTACTAGAATTCAACTTATGCTCAAATAACAAAATCAATTTATCGATTATTCTCAATAAAAAAGAAATCGTATGAGTAATCGAGAAAATAAGGTAAATTCAAGTCTCTAGCTCTGACATCTTCATATACGTCAATACGGACAGAGGCACAGACGGACATGGCTATATCGACTCAGCTCGTCGCCCTGATCATATGACCATATGTAATGTTATTTAATATGTGTTACACCTTTTCGGTGGGTTTTCATCGAGTTCTAAATAAGGTTTTACAAAAGTTAAAATTACTTACCTAAATGTCCAAAACGGCCGGAACGACCAATTCGATGCAAATAAGTTTCTGCCATTCGCGGAAAATCGAAATTAATAACAACATTTACAGCTTGTACATCGATGCCACGAGTAAATAAATCAGAGCAGACCAAGTTTCGACAGAGACCTTGTCGGAAGTCGTGAAATACTCTATTTCTATGTGCTTGAGCCATTTTAGCATGAATATAGTAGCAGCAATAACCGAGCTCTGTTATTTTTTTTGCTAGGAGCTCAACACGTTGTGTTGAGTTGCAAAATATTATTGATTGATTTATTTGCAATTTTGAAAACAGAGTGTTTAAGCAATGCACTTTCTGACGCTCTTGCACAAACGCATAGTATTGCGTGACTCCTTTTAGCGTTAACTCTTCCATAAGGTTTATTTCATAGGGCTCACGCAAATGTTTCTCCATAAAATTTTTAACGGTTAATGGAAACGTTGCAGAAAACAGAAGTATTTGTGGATCCTTGGGTAATTTTAAAATAACATGATCCAGCATGCCTTGAAAATCTAATGAAAGCAGCTTATCAGCTTCATCCAAGACTAATATTTTGCAATGGGACATATCTGCTACTTTCTTATCCATTAAATCCAAAATTCGTCCCGGAGTCGCAATAATTAATTGTACTAAAATGAAATAGATTTTATTATTATATTTTAATAAGATAGTATTGCCATAATTTATTGTATTTACTGGTGGTAGGTTTCAGATGAAATAAAATTTCTTTATAAAACAGATTTCTATGAATTCCATCTTGCTACATATAAAGTTTTTATACACCCTACTAAAAATAACAATTAATAAAACTCTAGTTGAGACTGCTTGACTAGGAGATAGCCTAAACCCTCTAAGGTCATTCTGCACTTCCTTTATGCACACATGTGGTCACACCTAAGCGTTATAGAAAATTTGTGGGCGAAAGGTCAATATCAAAACAAAACAAGTAAGAACGTTGCAGTTAAGTTTCGCTCTAACACTGTAGAAAATGCAGTTTTTCCCGATTTTCCACGCCCCTAGTGGGCGGATCGGGAAAACTTTAACACTTTATAAATCGGATATATACACGAGTATGTGTTCCAAATTTCAAGTGTCTAGCTTCAATAGCGCCGAAATAGATTGCGTTCATACGGACAGACGGACGGACATTGCACAAAACCAATATACTAATTCACTTTCGTGAGTTGTAATGAGCTTAAAACGGCCCTATTAGAGGAATGGCCAAAAATCTCCAGCGCAGTAACCCGAAAATTGTTAAACTCGATATAATCACGCTTAAAATAGGTGATTAAACAAAAAAGAGGTAAAAAAAATCCTAATTTAAGAATTTTTGGACAATAAAGTCATTGAAAGTGAAGTGCACGAAATAAGCTGTGACATGGAAGAGGCCAGTTATTTTAGTTTTCTTTAATTTTAAATGTTATTAATTATAATAGAAAAATGATGAGGTGCGTTAATACATAATGAATAACCAATAAATAAGACCTCATTTAAATTTTTTGGATATCTTTACTGGTTTAGCGGGAATACGGCTTTAAAATTGTACTACACCGCTGCACGAAATAAGTTGTGAGCCACTGTATATACAGCTACGAAAAATAAAATAGCACCACTTGCAAACGCAAAGTTTAAGAAGTTCTCCTAGGTGCATTTATCAATGTATTGATCTACTTTTTACTTGTATATAAGCAGAAAAAATTAAGAATCGCAACAAGCAAGAATTATTCCAAAAATATTAATCGTTTTTATATTATTCAAAAAATTCTCAAAAAAGTCGAAAAAATGCCGAAAAAAATAATAGCACCACTAACCCTTTTCGAGTGAAAATCTATATTTTTCGAAGATTTGAATATCTTCAAAAGCACTAATTGATGAGATTAGTTATTTATATATCATAGCTCGCAAAAAACTGTTAACACTTTTGCGTTGTCTGCAAAAAAGTGTCTTTCACTGACACAGTCAAAAAAACTCAGACAGAAACTGTTTTTGTCGCGTCTGGCTTAGCTCTCTCGCGCTCTGAGGGAGANACGCTATAATTCAAACTTGTCAATCTTAGATTTTTGGCAGGAGGCAACGGACCTTAAATTGTGGCAAACAATATTTTATGTATTCCGGTAAGCTGTGCAACAAGCGAGCGAGTATTCTCCTCTTCTGGAAAATTTTTAAATGAAAGGCGAACAAGGCTGTTAAGCGCTCCTTGTTTTTATATAAAAACATGTAATATTTCTGTAAATAATATTGTAATTTTTAAAAATTAAATAGTTATTTTTGAGAACAAAAAGTTTTTTGTAATTTTTGAGTATTAAATTTTTTGTGTTTCGGGCAGGCGGGTTGGGTGCGGGTATGAAAATTTTTGTTGCTTTCGGGTACGGATTGTGAACTTTTGACCGTGGGCGGATCGGGCAAAAAAAAGTCGGCCCGTGCCCATCTCTAGTTCACGGTATAAAAACTAAACTCGGATCTGAAATAGCACTACTTGCTCTAACGGGAACTTGTTTAATAATTTTTCTTATTGATACGACAGCAATATTTAAATCATCATACATTTGCCAAAACGCTTCTTTCAAAATAAAATAAAAATTCTTTACACGAAGTTAACCTATTTCTCTTTATAGTATAGACGAAAAAATGTATAAAATGCTTATAAATTATATTAACCCTGTTAAACAATTTGTTTGCAATTATTTTGAAGTATATAATTTAACGCTAATTTTTAAGGGAAATACCTTTTTGATAAATACGAAGAATGTCATCCTTTAAAATTGTACCTCCCGTTGTAACCATTACACGGATATCAAGATGCTTGGCAAGTTCAATACAGATTTGTGATGTCTGCAACGCCAGTTCTCGTGTAGGAACCATTACCAATGCTTGAATATAGTCTTTAGTTGGGTCTATTTGCTCTAAGACAGGAATACAGTATGCTCCAGTCTTCCCAGTGCCGTTTTTTGCCCGAGCTAAAACATCTTTGCCACTTAAAGCTATAGGTATAGCAGCTTCTTGAATTGGCGATGGACGTTCCCAACCCTTTTCGAAAATGCCCATTAGTAGTTCTCGTTTTAGACAAAATTCTTCAAATTCATTGCCGCGTGTATCTGTCACATCCTGAAGAACAATTTTACCATTAATGCAAGATATGGCAAATTTCATAAAATAATGCATAATAGAAAATGTTTTATTATTAGTACATATTCATAAATATCATGTCAATATAATTTGAAAGTTGAGTGGATTTATAAATTATTTGCTGAAATATAATTCATTATCTTTGCAAACAGTTTATTGGCTCTAGCATCCATCTGTCAGTCAGCCTATTTTATTGGTATAATATAAAAAAAAAAATATACATACTGTTGTTTTAAAACGATTATCCTTTGGAGGAAGCTTCAGTTTCGATTTCCATCCCATGTCGTCGCCTAAGTTACTGGCAATCTGATGATCACTTAGCATTCTAAAAATATATTTATTGGTTAGTACATCTTAAAATATCAGCAAATTCTACAATTCATTTATCTGGTACTTTAATCCGACGTTAATTAAATATTTCATCTTTTAACTTTACCTCCAATTTCCACCATAATTTTAATGTCTAATACTAATTTAAATAGCTTTTCTTATGTGATTTTTATTGCTAAAACGTTAAAAAGCAACAGTTAATAATATCTAAAATAGCACGTTAATAGAGTATTAACAAATATATTCGGTATTTTATCTTCATTGTAATAAACAATTTAACAAACATTTTTCTGTATAGCCTCTATGGGACAGTATTAATATATTGAATATATTACTTATTTAAATGAATACAAAGTAAATATATACAAACCCTTTGTTAATCAAACTTGGGTGACCGGGTACAATTTTTTCTGTCATCATTATTTCGAAATAGTAATTTTTATATGTGTATGTGTCACGGCTTGAAAACGAAAGAAATGGATAGTTTGTACCCATGTTAAACATAGAAAGTTGATTAAAATTATATTTTTACCTGTTGCGTAAATGTTTATATATATATATA